GAGATACGTTATGCTGTGAGTATAACAATGTCATTAAATGTCAATTTAATACAAGAACTAGTTAATAGAAAACTAGAATTAAATTCTCCCCCATGTCCTGTGACCTGTCTAGCCTCAGGTTCCGAAGTCTGGTATCAATATCAGGTATGTACTCCATCTTAGGAATCGGACCATAAATTAAATTAAAGAGTGGTTGCTTACTCACATAATACTTGTGCCACTGTTGAGCTAGTGGGCATATCTTGCCAGGTCAGCTATTATTGTACTTCACAGAATTCACAGTTGGGTATGGATCATGATTATTTTTTCTTTCTAATACCTTGTATAGCACTGTCCACTGCTATAAACATTGCCCAGGATAGATAAGGCTCTAAAGTCAGCACCAGCTGGATTTTTTTCTTATTTGTTCTACAGCTCATGCATGTTCCGTATTCTGTAATAGGGTCTTACCAACCAGCTCTGGTGGGTGACCAAGAACAGGAGAAATGGCCAGTATTTTTTGTGTCTATGGGATCCCTGGTCAATAGTTTCTAGAGAGGGAGTTCATTCCTGGCATTGAGGGTCATTTTTCATTAGCTTATGATGTATAGAAAAGGCAATGTCTCCCTGTTATAGGATTGCTCCTTTTAATCTTTTGTGATGTATACATAAGTATTTTAAGACACTTGTATAATGGTAGGTTTTCATATGGCTTTTTCTAAAACCTTTTTTTTTTTAGTTTTACTTAGGCCATCCTATACTCCCTCCACTGCCCTGTCTTCCCATTCCCCATGCTCTTAACCCTTCCTAGTCTATTGTTCCCTTTCCCCCATCATATAACTACATTTTATCACTCCTTCCCCAAAGCGTCCCCCCACCAATACCCAATTAATGTTTTTTTACCTCTGAGTTTTTAAATTGAAACATGTATATCTAAGATTCCAATGCTAGCATCCAGCTATGAGAGAGAACATGTGACACTTTTTCTTCCCAAATCTGGATTACCTTATGCAGGATAAGTGCTTTCAGTTCCATCCATTACATAAAAATTTCATAATTTCAGTTTTTTAAAGAGTTGAATAATATTCCATTGTGTATATGTATCATGCCTTCATTATCCATTCATCAGTTGATAGCCATCTAGGTTGTTTCCAATTTCTGGCTATTATGAAAAGGGCAGCAATGAACATGGATGAACAAGCATTTCTATGGTAGGATATAAAGTCTTTTGGGTATATGCCAAGGAACAGTACTGCTGGATCATATGGTAGACTAATTTCAAGTTTTTCTTCAGGAATCTACACACTGATATCCATAATAGCTGCACCAGTTTGCACTCCCATTGGCAGTGGATAAAGGTTCCCCTTTCTCCATATTCTCACCAGCATTCGTTTTAAGTACAAAATGTATTTTCTTTCTTGGTCCTTTTTATTTGGTGTTCTGTTGACCTCTTGCATCTGGATGGGCATCTCTTTATCTAGTTTTGGGATTTTTTTCTATAATTGTTACTTAAAATATGCCTTATGCTTTTGGTATGGTATTCTTTCCCTTATTCTATGTCCCTAATTTGAAAGTTAGGTCTTTTCGTGGTGTTCAATATGCTCCCATTTTCTGTTCATTTAAAAAATATTCTAATGGGCTATTACTGAGTGATCTAATTCCTCTATATTGTTTTCCCACTATGGCTTTGTTTTTGGTATGATCCATTCTATTAGTGACACTTTTCACTGAGTTTTCATTTAGCTTATTGATATTTTCATTTCAAGTGAAAGTTTGGGTTTTCTTCAGAAACTTTCTCCTTATTGAACTCAATATTCATAACTTAGATTGGCTTCATTTTGTCATTTAGCCCTTTGTTTTATCCACCACTAGATGAAGAGTGCTAAAGGCAATTAATGTCTGATGAAAACAGATAATACATTTTCTCTAGGGATGAGACCCCTCATAGGTTTTCCAATCCCAAAGTACTTTATTAAAATATAGAGAAATGAAAGGCATAAATTATACAAGGACACTTTTTCCTGGTCAGAAGATGGGCCACAAACCTTATTCCCTTCTTCTCCCTCAAATAACACTAGGAATTCTTTACAGATTGGGCTATTGTGATAAATTTGTCTAGCTGTGCTCTGTGCATTGAACCTCCAAGGTATATATTAGACAGCAATTAACCTGCTCTTCAGCCACTTAGTATGATGTCACTAGTATAGTTGGCTCCACAATTGTGTCTCTTTGTCCCTTGATTGCTCACACTAGATGGTTCATCTGATATTGCATTTACTTCAGTGCAGAGGGCCAAGCCTGAGCTGTCTTATCTGGGCACCTAACCGGAGTATCGTGGATTTGCAGGTCATGGACATGGCCCAAAAGAGCAGCAGCATAAACCAGTAAGTGCAAAAGGAAAGTATGCCTGTGGCAGATTAATTGAAAATACTGTGTCCTCATCATGAGAAGAAAGATCAGCTTGGAGAGTTGGGTGAGAACATACTAATATGAACCTTACAAGTTGTAAGGAATGTGGACTTTATGGTCTTGGTTTTAATCAGGATACAAAATTTTAATCTTTTACAAAATTTCCACTCACACCTAGGTGTATTTTGCATGAATGTGTCTTTCACAATAGCAGAATGATGGCCCTCATAAACTATTTCCTAACTAATCCAAAAGAGTAAGGATGAACATAAGGATGAGGATGATGCTAATTAAAGAAACCAAAGCATCATGAATATGCTTCTTTTTTTTTTTTTTTGGTCTTTTTGAGATAGGGTATCCCTGTAGCTCCATCTGACCTGGAACTTGCTATGTAGGCCACTCAGGGCTTGAACTCACAGAGATTCACCTGCCTCTGCCTCTAGGATGCTGGGATTAAAGGCATGCACCACCACATCTGGTTGGATTTCTAGCTTCTACACACAAAGGTGTATTATCTTTGCAGTTGTTTTAATTTTGTTTGTGTATTTTCTTTCCTATGGTTTTAAATGTGCATGTCATTATTGTCTTATGGAAAATGAAGAGCTGTATTATCACAATGTAGTTTGTGGTAGGACTTTTAGGCAGAAAACAAATCCATGTTTGCATTGGACTGTCTCTTTATGGATACAGGAGGCACATCACAGCAGGAGCATTCTGACTTGTTATCTTCTTGGTCATTCAACTACACATTTCACTTCGCTGTCACTACAGAAAAATGATACCTTTGCTCACTATTCTGTTTCCTTCATGAGGTCCTGGCAAATAGCATGGCAGACCAATTGGTGACTACATCTACTACAGTAAGGACAGTCAAGTGTTGGGACTCAAGTTTGCTTTCTTTAGCGGGGGACCTACTGGCTTAGGGGCAGAGGACTTGATCAGTGACAGAGTCTTAGACCCTGGGAACTGTGTATTTCCAACAAGCCAACTTATTTTAAAATTTAGATGGTTTTTATACATCCCAAGGAACTAGCAGTCATGTGGGATATGGCAGTCACATACAAAGGTTTAGGGTACAAAGAAACAGGACATTTAGTCTGTTAGCTGGCCCCAGAACAATTCTTAAACTTTTACTCAAGGTTATCAATGCCCATCCAGTAATTTATTGGCCACAATGTTTTCTTTCTTAAAGCTAAAAGCATGGTGAGCTTTTAGCTTTCAGCTCAGGAGTAAACCTTTAACCTGGCCTAATCTCTTAGGCAGGGATAGCCGAGTTATTTGTTCAGGACAAGGAGATGAGCTAAGGGTTGTTGACCAAGATGCTTTCCCACAGAGCAGGGAGCCTGAACTTTTATGACCAGGCTACTTCCTCCTGTCTAGCAGTGCTCTTCAAGACAGGGATTATCAGAGCCACTGTTTTCAGTGCCACTCCCTTTAGCAGAGAATGCAGCCTGGACTTAAAGTTTTAGGCTCACCTCACCCTAGGGCCTGGCAACCTCATTTCCTACAGTCAAGAATCACAAGAAAGTCCTACAGGATTTGGTATTATATTTTCTATTTCATTTAGGCATATAATCACAGAAGGGTAGAGAGATTTACAAGCATTCTGAATATAGTAACAGGTCAATAGGCATATCTTAAATATGCATTTTATCACACCCATTGCTCTTTGATTATAAACTCCACATTGTTATTACAGTAAAAGAATTAAATAGAGGCTATTTGTATAAGTAATTTTAGTAAAGATAGCCAGGGATCATAGCCAAAGATCCCAGAAAGGGTAGAACCATCATGATACAGCACAGATTACTCTTCTCATTACAGTGTACTCCAGCTACTGTGCAAATTACTGATTAATTTAAGAATCTCATATTATCTATAAAAGGGACAAAATTCAATCTGGATTTAATTTCTGCTCAGGAAACCTAAAAGGATTTTAAATGTGCAGATGAACATGTGGCAAGAAATTCTGGAATTATGGTGAAGTTTTATGCTGCACTGGAAAACAAGGAATGTTTTGTGGATGGGATGTGGAGGATTACACTTTAATTTCAAATCCCTCTGGCTCCCTTCATTTCTATGATATAAGGAAGATTGTTAGAATTTCTGTGACTGTATTGTTCTATGAGTGGATGAGCAGTTGATAAAGATTTACTGATGAAAAAGAAAATAAAGTGCACTTCCATTTAAATTGCAATCTGTTGCCTAAATAAAGTTTGAGCAAAATAAAATTATATATTATTGTGGTGGTTTGAATGATCATGTCCCCTATAGGCTCCAAATATTTAATCATTTTGTCCCCAGTTGGTGATACTGTTTTGGGAGGTCTTAGAAGGTGAGGCATTGCTGAAGGAAGCACATCATTGGGTGGTGGGGGAGGAACTTAGAGCGTTCTTAAGCCTTGCTAGATTTTCATTCACACTACTTCCTGTGCCTGCTTGAAGATGTGAACAGTTAAGTTCTGCTCCCACTCCAGCCACCTCTGTTTCCATACCCACCTGCCATGATGGACTAACTCTTTCCCCCTTTGAACTATAAGTTAAATAAACTCTTCCTTTCACAAATTTACTTGGTCATCGTATTTTATTACAGCAACAGAAGATTAACTAAGTGAATTTCCATTACTATTGCTTATAGATTAACTTTCATTACCAAACAAGCAAAAGATTTTGTGATGTAAACTCCATTTTTCTTATTTCTCGATAAAAAACTGTATTGTTTGTCCTATACACGAATATTGTATATTTGGAGAATACCTTATTCACTTTCATTTCTGATTCCCTAGATCTGTTTTGCATAGAGACTGGGGAACAGAATACTTTTTAAAATATTTTATTTATTGTTTTTATTTTATGTGTATGCATGTTTTGCCTGCAAGTATCTAAGTGCACCTATGTCATGCAATGCCCACGAGGTCAGAAAATGGTGTCATATCCCCTGGAACTGGAGTTGCAGACAGTTGTTAGCTGCCATGTGGGTGCTGAACTGAACCTCTGAGCCATTTCTCCAGCTCTGGGATCAAAAATATTTTAAACAGTAAATCTACCCTTCCCAGGTTCTAACAGTGTCCCCAATCTGTTTGGCTTTACACTCTTGGTTCTTCCCATCGATGATTTTATCCCTTTTAAATGGTTCACTTGATCAAAGAGGACAACCTTCTCTAATAGAGGAGATCTTCACTATATGACTAAGTTTGCCCACTCCCTGTTGGAACCTCCAATCAACACTGAAGAAATTAGAGAGAGGAAAATTGTGAATTTGATGTAAATCAAGAATATATAAATATTAAATTATTTTTCAAAGAACACCAAAATTTGTGTGAATATGTTCAACTGCTATTAATGAAGTTTGGAAATCAGAAAATCATTTAAAGGTTAACTCTCTGAATGATATCTGGTTTATGATAATGTTTTCTGATTGGGAACTACCAGCTTCAAGTTTTCACATAATTCATTCTTAGCTCTAATAGCAGGAATAAAAAGTCACAGTCAAGAGAAGCTAAATCATACTAGATACATGAGGCATATTTGATTGTTTCCTAGTTTCTAGACAAAGAATAATATTTGAAAGTATAAGTGTCATTGTATCATTATGCCATGAACATGTACTTGTTTTCTCTAAAATTCTTGGTCTGTGACATTGTTCAGTTGATCATCACTAAAATTCATGTTTACACAAAGAGATGAACAAAAGAAAACTGTTTATAAAGAATGTGATTAAAGAAGACTGGCTTTTTTACGACTGAGAAGTACTGCTAAAATGTTATTGGCAGCAAGAATGGGGGTTTAATGTTGAATGTTTGAATGAAAGTATGTATAGCTCAAGTGTCAGGACTTGGGAGGCTGATGCCAAAGAATATCTGTGAGTTCATAACAATATCCTGTCTCAAAAGTCAAAATAACATTAAATATATAGACAGGGACTGGATAAATGAGTCAGTTAAGAGGACAGGATGCTCTTGCAGATGACATGGATTCAACAATAGAAACTCACTACTGTGTGTGATTTCCATTCCAGGATATCTGATGCATTCCTCTGCCTTCCTTGGGCACTGTTCATGTGAATTGCACTTATATACAGGCAAAACACACATGCACATTGTTGCATATGACTTCTCCAAAAGACAGACCATGGACAGATGCCTTCCTCCCAAACTTGTTTAAGATCGTCACAGATAAACTTTGTTGACTGTTACAGTTCACAAGAAAGAAGGGGCAAGGGGAGTCAGTCATGCTTTCCAACCAACCAGTCTGCCCTAGTTTCATGAGGGGAGGGGCTAAGGGTATATAAGCTAAGGACACAATGGAGAGTGTCTCTCGCAATTTTGTGTGACCATTCCAATTTGGATGAAGACTTTTCAGCACTCACACTTCTATAAGTAAACTCTCCGTAATTAAGTCCAATAAACTCATGGGTTTCCCATACTGTAGTTTGGCAAAATCAAGCTTTCATTTGTCATAGGGAACAAGGGGGTGGTGACATTGTTTATACCCCATGGGAAGAATTTTAGTTACACACATAAAATGAAATTAAAAAAAATGAATAGACATAATTCTGACTGTCCATTTGTTTGATTCAATTGTAACCATTGTGTTTTTTTCATTTGAAAAGGTGTACAAGGAATGCGGATCCCCAAAATCTCACAAGTGTCTCAGAATTCCATCTCATGGGACTCTCAGAGGATCCAGAACTGCAGCCCATTCTCTTTGGACTGTTCCTGTCCATGTACTTGGTCTCGGTTCTTGGAAACTTGCTCATCTTCCTGATTGTTAGCTCTGACTCAAACCTACACTCCCCTATGTACTTCTTCCTCTGCAACCTGTCCTTGGCTGACATTGGCTTCATTTCCACCACAGTCCCAAAGATGATTGTGAACATCCAAACCCATAGCAGAGTCATCTCCTATGTGGATTGTCTCACACAGATGTCTTTCTTTGCTATTTTTGGATGCATGGATGACATGCTTCTGACTGTCATGGCTTATGACAGGTTTGTAGCCATCTGTCACCCTCTGCATTACACACTCATTATGAATCCTCACCTCTGTGTCTGCTTGGTTTTGGCCTCCTTTTTGGTTAGCCTTGTGGACTCTCAGCTACACAATTTGATTGTCTTACAATTACCCTACTTCAAGGATGTGGAAATTGCTAATTTCTTCTGTAATCCTTCTCAACTCCTTAATCTAACCTGCTATGATGTGTTCAGTAAGAGCATAATTATGTATTTTACTGGTGCCATATTTGCTTTTTTTCCTATCGCGGGGATTCTTTTCTCCTACTATAAAATTGTATCTTCCATTCTTAGAATCTCATCTTCAGGTGGAAAGTACAAAGCCTTCTCTACCTGTGGGTCTCATCTGTCAGTTGTTTGCCTATTTTATGGTTCAGGCATTGGAGGGTATCTTTGCTCTGCTCTGTCATCTTCCCCGAGAAATTATTTGGTGGCCTCAGTGCTGTACACTGTAGTCACTCCTATGTTGAATCCCTTCATCTACAGCCTTAAGAACAATGACATTAAAAGTGCTTTGAGCAGGGTGTACTGGAAGGCAATCAAATCTCCCTTTCAGTTTCATACTTGTCTAAGTTTGCATTGAAATTACTCATCATCCATACCTGTAAATCAGTCTCCTTAGTCGCATTATTTGTTTCAAAGGCATTTATTTCTTTCTAGGTTCCATAGTTGAATTTTGCTTTCTTAATTATGTTTTCATTGGGTTTTATAATTCCTTTGTCTTTGGTAACATCATGAGTGAATTCAATGTAACTAGGTTGTTATGGCAGTTTCTGGGAAATTTCTCTCATAACTCTCTTTTTATATACTTAAAATTTTCACCTATTTGCAAGTTTGAGTATATTTTCGTACCACTTGTGTTCATTTTTGGATTTTGTTTTCATTATGTGAAGAGCTTAGAAATATTCATGACTATATGTCTTCTCCAGTATCTGATTTATGTAAACCTGTTAGAGTGAAGACAATAATATACCATAAATGGAATTAAATACTGTTTCTAAAAGTTTTATGTTGAAATGAGTAAGTTACAACTCAGCTTTTTATTTCACAAGATGACGTTGTTTGCTTCAGTATCATCTGTAACTGTAGCTCTTTAATTTCACGCATACCGTAGTTAAGCTATTTTCCTTTAGTCTCAGTCCTCTACAATGATCAACTGATGCAAAATGGGAACACTAAAAACTGTTCTCCACCTGGTGGATATTATTATACACTTTCACTTATTGTCATTGATTTTCATTATCATTTTTATATTTCTTTTATTATTTTTATTTCTTGTGTATGAATATATTGCATGCATGTATGTAAGTGCACCTGTGCCATGCAATGTTGGTAAAGGTCAGAAGTGGGCATCAGATTGCCCTGGAACTGGAGTTAAGGATGGTTGTTAGCCACTGCTCTTAACCACTGAACCATCTCTCCAGCTCTTAATCTTCATTATCTTAAAAAATTAGTAGATTTTATTGCACTCTTCAGACCCTAAATCCCTGTGTTTTATACACCTCTCTTTAATACACTCTTTATGAACAAAACTTCCTCTCTGTTGTTCCTGCATTCATTCTCCAACCAATATCCTGAATCATATCATCTTCTTTACTATAACAAGTTTCACTTTGGTCCTTGAAGGAAATGTATTAAATCACCACATGAGGGAAATGTGTGTTTTGAATTGAGTATTGGAATTTCTCAAAATGGGGTAAACACAACTTTTTAAATGTACTTGATCACTCAAGCTGTCCGAGTGATACTTCAGTGGTGACACCATATTGTATACATGTCATGAAAGAAGAAAACAAACCTCCTTTTGCTCCCTGTGGCTTTCTCCTTTGCCACCTGATCTCTGATTCATATCATCTTCAGTATATTCTCAGTTGCTGTTCTCTTAGAAGAACTAGCAATATAAAGTTCTGCTCTAAATGAACTCTATTACTTAAATGATCTAGCCTCAGTATTTTTTTTTTTGTAGCAGTGTAAATCTAATCAATAGAGAGGGGAGATTTTCAT